TGAAGTATAATCGAATTATATGCACGACCTTTCAATACCATTTTTTTCTGAAATGCAAAAATTGCACAGGTATGTGATACATATTTTATTTACATGAAGTTAAATAAACAAATGTTATTTTGACTACGGTTGCTCTCCAAAGTATTATGTCATTTCCAAGAATTTAAAAAACATGATCTAAATTATCTGATTGTTTGATCTCAAACCTGATAAATAAAACACTAATTCAGAACAGTCACTGCAATAGAATTTTTTACATAGTTGTTAGAAAATTGAATTACGTTTTTAACCATGTTTCGTAAAGGGCCAGCCATAGAACAGAAAACATGAAAAAATATATGTCCTTCTAAAAAGGTTGTGATACGTAGAAAAAATAGTTTCAAGAAATTGGGTAATAGATCTATCTATCTAGCAAACATTTAAGTTAACAATAAAATCATGTTTTACTTAATACAAGCAAATTTTACACACGGTAGAAATAATTCAACTGATTTTATTTGATTCTTAAACATTATTAAATAATGCAATCAATAGGAAGTTACTGTACCTTGCATCATATAAATCTTTGGTACGTGAATACCTGTTCTTTGCATATCTTGCTTTGACAAGTTATCAATTTTTTTAAATGGCTTTTAGTATACACTTAACAAAAAAGATCTCTCACAGAATATCTATATCAAATGATTAAAATGTTTTTGATGTGCAGACGTTAAGAAAAACACAAAATTCCTTGTATGTCCATTGCAGAAAAATTACAGAATGTGGGTCTAAATCCAAGTTGAAAGTCGTTATCGCATGTTTTTACATTATTTCTTTGTAATTAAGCTTATTTTGATAAAAACGCACGGAAAGTTGCGCCACTTGTAATGTAAGTGAACTGCTAGCAGAAATTATTTTCAGATTTCCTCCATGGAGCAAGAATTATAAACATAGTCAAGAGATTTGTCTTGAAGATTAAGGCCAGATGTCGCCTAGCTGGAAGTGTCAATGTCCTATATAATTGACCCTGTCAAAGGTCACGATTAAATCTTGTTCAATAAACGATTTTAGTACATTTATTCAAGAACTGCCACTTATTAAGGTCAATTGGTCTATAATTGAAGGTTTGTTACATGATAAATATTTCTGCTGATAGTATTCAGTACCAGACATGACAACAAACCTCGAAAGCATTATTGGCAGGTGTGAGATACATGATCCGATATAGCATATATTTATAGAGCAGATGGTTAAAAAATATTTATATAGCAGATGATAAATTGTTCTTTAACAAAACAATATTTCATTATATAACTCTTCAAACTAAATAACTAAGACATTTATTAACAATTTTTACAGCAATATTTTTTAAAAATATCCAAATGATACTTTTCTATTGTTTTATCAAAGTTTGAAATACTTAAAATGTGAATTAGTTATGTGAATGCTTACGTACATACGGTATTCTCACGCATGGACCAATTGTCGAATATTGGTAAAGTTCCACCGATTGGTAAAGTGTCTTGGTTGCTTATTGCAATCACAGATTTATTCATTTTGTTCGAATCCGTATAAAGCGGGAAAATCTTAGATTGTATACCTTAAATTGTAGTATAAAATTTAAGTATTAATTGTAAGTGTTATGTAATAGAATTGTCAAAAACATGGAACAGGTTTTTCTTTTGAAAAGATTATTTTATCCAAGCAGCATAATATCGGACTGTGAGTGGTGGTACATACACATAAACCACCAAACCTCAAAGTTTTTTTGCGAATTTCAATTACCACCTTTTTCTCGGAATCGGTCATTATTTCTTTGAATGAAATGCATATGTCCGTACAGATGTCATGAAGCAAACATGAAATGTTGTACTTTGTTACAGATACAAAACTTAAATAATACAATATTTTATAATTAAAATATCATCAGAGTACTTAACACTTTTGTTCCATGCATTTATATTGTATTATACTATATTTTATTTTCAAACAAAATAATGAAAATAAATGTATGTTGCTATAAATGATATGTAATATTATTAATTGTTTGAATTATGAAATACCATATATATTTACATGATAAAGAAATAAATTTTTATATCTTTGATTGTACAATGTTCTTTTCAAAGAAATTTGAACAATAAATAGTCTATTGGAAAAAGTTTAAGTACACCTTCTTCTTGCTCTAAACGTTTCTAGTTAATAAAAAGGATTTAGTATTACTTTTAAAAGACTTGGCAGTATTCTATAACTTTAGTGTTTACGCTATGGACATATTTGAGTGTCATGAAATATAACAGAAGTGCAACATCAATGGTACTGTATGGATCACACATGATGTTTCTGATTTCTTAATTGACCATTTTAATTCTCTACTTAAGTCGTTGCTAGGGTCATTTGCGGGAGCACTCATTAACCATTGCGCCTCATTAGAATATTACATGCCCAATTAGACTATGCCTGTTCATGGACAACATTAAATAATCCAACGTTGACGTCTCCAATGATCTATCGCACTTCAAATCGAGTTTGAACGATGTTTATTTTGGCAGGATAAGACAATCCTATTTTATTTCCTTATTTCACTCTTTCTTAAACTGCTTTTGACATGATAATCATGCTTTGTTTTCATTTCTTTACAATTGCCAATATTTATATCCATTTTTCTCTTGTTAATAATTAGATTTTAAAAATAATCAAAATCTTCCATCTATTCAATTTTGTTTTCAATGTTGCGTCTTTGGATTCCCTTTCGTCATTACATTATCAACATATCTCTACATATAACAATTAACCTTTAGTATTTTATTAAATGTATCAAGTTCAACAAGCAAATATAAATGAAAACAAATTTGTTCAAACACAAAATAAGAAATTGTAGGCTTGTCAACAGATGTATCTGTACAAAATTATGTTGAAGAAAAATAAGAAAGATGTAAATGAAACGTATAAGTAAATATCCCTGATGTTAATTATAATGATGCTAATACATTCATGAAAATACCTGTTCTTGTATATTACGTTTATCATCATCTTTGTAAAATTATGCACATTACCCACAATTACAGCGGAGATAGCAAATTTCATTTTCTTATGCAATTATTCTAGTGCAGCAAGCTAATAGCTACTAAAGCATTTTGCATGAAGCCGTTAACACTGGAAATGTCTATTTCTATTCAGAAGTCAAGTGTGTAAATAGAGTAACAGATACCATTAATCGAAGCATTGAAAATTCGTTTCCCAATGACGTTTTAAAAAAAAAACAGATATACTTGGGAGGAGAGAATAACGGAAGTAAGTAGCATCTAATTCAATAACAATTTCAAAGAAATAACCCTTGCCGCATTTTCTTTAAACATTTTGAATACAAAAGATGTAAAGGGAACGATTTTCTGTTTTTCAAGCTGTCAGTCAAAGTCTATGTTGAAATAATTGACTGCATGCGTATTAAAACAAAAACTCTATGATATTGATATTCTGTTTTATTTCTACTTTACAGTCTCCACAGAATCAGTATCTCAAGTTATTAGAAATATTAACATTTGATATATGATATTCCTATATTAGTTATAAAATTAGCTTCATGTAAATTATTTTATATTGATGTCCTCTATACAAGTTATATAATATTTATGCTTCATATCAGCGTGATGTAGTTACATTATATGATTTATAACTTTGCCTTGATCAAGTTTAATGTGTTTTATTGTAACACACACAAACAACAAAACAAATAACAAAAAAAAACCCACCTAAATAAAGCGGAAAAAGGTAACTTGGATCTCGAAATTTGAGCTCATGGAGGGAAGTTAGAGGTTGTGGGTTATATATCGTACCCAACAAATTGATCGGGAAGAAACTGATCTTTCAACAGACCAAACTTTACGCCATACCTGATTTTATTTATTTATTTATTCTATTTTATTTTTTTTGGGGGGAGGGGGGGTTGCATAATTACTATGAAAGGAAATTAAAAATGTATGCAATTAGGAAATTACCTTACGTGAGATTCGTTAAGATATAATTTGATACATTGCTTAATTACCTGAACTAGATTATTGCTAATAATATTTGCCTTCGCATGATTTCCTACCGCTAAAAAAACAACAACTCGACTATCTAGTTTGTGAAGTGTTAACAGTACTGAACAGATCATTGTATTCACCGTAACGTATATTGTGCGAAAGTCTTACACTAATTCCTTCCAGACATTATGCCAATGTTTTGTTACAGATGCATTGCATAGGGAAATGAAGATTTCATCTAATCAGACGGTCGTTATATCAGAAATTCTTTGTCTAGCCCTTGTTTAATTCACCTAGCAATCAATGGAAAATGAAACAGAAATAATGTTAACGTTGACAAAATTTCTAATAGCATGGTTTGATTATAGCCTAATTAATTTGGCGTGAACGGTTTGACCCATTTTTCAGACTTTTTTTATTACTGTCAAACCGTTACGCCTAATTTTAACTGTCATTTTTATGCACGGAAAATTTACCGGCAACACCATCGGTAGTTTTATTAGATTTTTTCATTTAAAATAGCAATAATTGTTTTTTTTTGCTACATATACACAGTAAACACACTTTCACACAATTGTCAATATAAAAATAACTGTGAAATACCTTTGTATCAATTATTATGCACTTTATTTCTCAATTGTTACCAAAACATTTCCCAATACAAAGGGCGGATGACGTCACTCGTAAAAATTTGATATCGTGAAAATTGGTAGTATAATTCAGGGTGTTTAACCGGTAATGTTGAAGTTCGCGTCTGATAAATAGAACTTTTTTTTTAAACGTTTCTTTTAAATTCTGCTATTTATGTAATAACAAAGATTATACAGATTATGACATGTTCCAGAAATGTGATATACATTCCGTAATGCTGCATGTTATCATAATTACAGGAGATCTATGTGCGAGGGGATTATAATATAGATCTAATAATATAACAACCATAAATCCATTTTTTCCTTTATTTATTATACTGTAGATATAACGTTTAAAAAGAAATCCAACAAATATCGCTAGGGACTTTATTTTTCGATGTATGCATATAAAATGGCATTGTGAAAAATTAAAATGTCCATAACGAGAAGCATCTTTGTAGCGAGATACTCGACATTTTTCATTTCAAGTGGTACCGATAAAGGTCGGGAGATATACATATATCCATATTTATGTATATATATGTGAACAAGTATACGTCTTTTATGTGTCGCCTTATGTGTGTCAACTCCAGTAGCAGTTATTTTAATTCAGTGCTACTTTACGTCTCTTGTCTAGACGTTTCTGATGTTTTTTTATTTTCTCTTTAAACTTTTCAACATTTTTGCAGGACTCATTTGATACAATTGTTGGGAAAGCTTTATGACTCCGACCAAGACATTTTACAGTCAGTTTTTCTGGCCTAAGCAAATGAGTAAAAAGACGGAGGTCTTCTTGTCTTCTGTCTTCTTTTCTAGTATGGATTCCTTCTCCAGATCCACCAACCAAAGAACTATATATTTCCTGAATGGCTGTCCCGAGACCACCAGCAAGCCTTCCGTGCCTATCCAAAGTTTCCTTTGAATATTTAGATCCGGCCGTCTTTATACTATCTGTAAAGAAATGTTATTGATACATCACCATAACTGTAATATATCCAAAAATATACAGGAAATGTATAATAACAATATGCAGAAAGAATAAGGTAATTAAAGTAATTTTTATCAGCAATAGGTATTCATCATTGAAAAAAGGCAGGATATCTGAACAAAAAGTGTAATTTATTTTCTATTTAGTTTTAATAATTACTTTATGATTATTTGCAATGCTAACCTTTGAATTCCCTATTTAGAAATTCATTAACCAAGTCCATTTCATCATTTCTATTTCGGCCACCGTGCAGGTTAACAGTCCTATTCCATGTTAGGTCAAACCTCAATCCCTCTGGTAGCCAACCGTTTAGAGCTGAAAAGAGATGCTGACTATTAAATATTCTCTATGCAAATGTATTATCAAAAATTTATCACACACTTTTGCCGATTTTGGACTCCGTAAATATGATATTGCAAGGCCGTGCATATATTTTGAAGTGAAGTCATGAGCGCTTTACAGACGCGCTAAATAACTAAAAGGGTTGGAGCACCACACTAAATACCGTATTCCGGTATATACCGGACAACGAGCCCTTATATTAACGTGATCATTTCGTTTCCCTCTTTTACCCAAGGGAAAAATAATTTTTTAAAAGGTTAATTCATTTTTTCACATCATTTATTGTATATAATAATAAAGAAATCGGTGCAAAAAAAAACATTTTTCTACTTTGTGAATTATAAATTTCAAAGCTAGAGGTTGTTCAATCCTATATTAAAAATGTTCCTTAACTATAAGCGCGTCAATGAAAAATGACTCTTATTTTGCTTTAAACGGTCTTTATTTTGGGTATGTGATAAAATGAATATTACATTCGTGTAATTTCATTACTGACTTTATTGCACTCGTTGAATACAATTATATAATGCTCGGCTCGCATACTATAATTTTATTCAACTCGTGCAATAAATTCCGTATTGAACTTACACTCATTCAATATCCTCTATGTATGATATTCTTCCGTCTTAAATGGTATGTAATTCAAATCCTGGGCATTTTTTACTTAAGTAAATTTCAGCTTAATTTTTATTACAATAAATAAAGAAAATGAACATTATTATATGCAATAATGAATGAAAAAGTCAAGCACTATGCAACTTTTTGGTAGGATAGCACTTTAATTACCTGTAATTAGTCGATGGCCTAGAATGAAATACTTGGTGTGGTTTCCATTATGAAACAATGGAAGGTCCATTTTCCAAAATAACACCATCATCTCTCCATTATTAGATCTAACTGCCTTTCTTCTAATCATATCATTCAGTCCTCTCCATACTAATATCTTCGTATACTCGAACTTTCTATCGAGCCCTTCTTCTTCTTCACGTGTCTTCTTCCGTTTCTTCCCTCGATCTTTAGTCTTGCACGTTTTGGAACAATACCAGCTTGTTTCTAAAAGCAGATTAAATCATTATGCATGTTCACATCATGTATTGTATATTTAATAAAGAATCTTGTGTGTCTAAATAATGAACCTGTTTGGGAACATTTCTCAAAATTTTGGTGAATTTTGTGATAAAATTGGGAATTCAAAATAGTTTTGTGTAGTATGAAGTATGTAGGGGCATTTATTCTGTAATATATCGCTGTAAATGTATAAAGCTTTTAAGCTTGATACCAGAAATAAATTAGGTACAGATGGGATAATGACTTAATAGTAACTTTTAATTTCTTAAGTTTTTAAAAATTAAATTGAATGAACTGTTAAATTGTACAATGATTTACTTAGTTTTCTAAATAAAACCTACTCGTGTCTGGAAACTGGTCCTCAGTCATTCCGAAGCAACAACCATGAAACCATTGTCCTTCACAATTTGGATACGAACATTCTATCATGGGCTCATCTTTAATGTATTTCTTGCAAATACAGTATTTGTAGTGAATTACATCATTCCGACATTCCTCCGAACAGAACCAATCTGAAGGTATGTTGTCTTCATCGATTCCTACGCACACGTAATGGAACCAATGGCCTTTTTCACAGTCATTGTTCTGACATTCAATCATAGGTTCATCGAAATCGTCTAAGTCTGAAACACAAAACCAAACAATTAGAAAAAGAAAAGCAAGTTAAGTGAAGGATATAAATAAAGGCTTAATTTAAACTCAGATTTTCATGACACAGTCCTCTAAATTAAGTAATGTAAATGCAAAATATTTACCTTCTTTACAGTGACATAACCCTTCTTCCGCTAACTCCTCCAAATTTGATTCTATCTTTGTTGTTCCACACCATACTTTCTCTACTATTTCCTTCGCTGTGCTTTTCAATTGTTGTCTCTGCTCGCTGTCATCCATGCCATCAAACAATGCAATATCGTCATCCAAATTCTCCATATTTAGATGGTCCATACCAAACAGAAGAACATATCCCTTTGTTACAAAATTAAGAAAGTCGCTCACGTAGTTAAAGCTCTCCGCAACAGTCTTTGAAACAGACCGCTGATTAAAGACATTTTTGAGGTAGAAGAGAGTTCCTTTATCCTGTGCACTTCTACCATCAAACAAGGTATCCATTGTTTCCTAAAAAAAGAATAATGCGTTGTGTATTTCTTAAACATAACAATAAGAATACTTAGTATTATTTAAATTTCATGAAATATGAACATCTAACATATATTTGATACATGGAAGTGAATAGATGAAATGTATTTATGTAAGCATTTACTATAGTTGTCTTAACTGAAATCACATACATGTGCATTTTATGTTAAATATGTCTGCTTTATTACCTGCATTAAAATCATACGCTTATGAAATTCCTGTGGTGACGGTTCCAGTCCCTCTAGCCGTTCACGTGGAGTCGCTCCATTGGCACGTGCGTTTTGTGCATCAGCATGACGTTCGCATGACAATCCATCTCCCCATGTAATAATTGGATATAGGGTACCGTCAGCTTCATTTTGGGGAACATAGCGGTGTAACATATCTAAAATGTTTATAACTCCTGCTGTTGTAGATGGATTTTCTTGCAGAACACCTATGTTAAACTGAAATTAAAAAAAACACACATTTTAAAATATTAGTAACCACTTCAAATTTTGATGTATGTTCTCACTCGCGCGGACGCACACAAACACATACGCTCGAAAATACACATGTTTTTTTATCAATAACAGTATTCAATTTACATTACAGAATAACGCATGTAGAAGCACTATTTCACATAGGAAAAATCCACTTACTATTTCACTTTTTCGTTTACTTTCTTCTATGTATTTATGGTCTTCTTCTGTCACCATTGTTTTGAGATGAGACAAAAGAGGAACGTGGTTCACTAATATCTCTATCACACTATTTATTAATGCGTCCTTTATCTTTAAAATCTCGGCTTCTTCTAGAAAATACTTCTCCAAAGGTACAGCGGTTGCCGGTATAACAGTTTTATCAATAAGGTGGCTGCTTTGTACACGGTTTTTGCTACATATGCAAGTGCCCAACTTAAATACTTGTTTCCATGGTTGCGAGTCTGATGACGGGCCTTCACTTGCTTCCCAACATTGTCCCAACAAATTGTATAACCTTTAAAAACAAAATAACACTTCACTGATATATTTCTATAAAGTATTGAAAAGCATGAAATAATTGGCTTTATTACACTTCTGAGTCGCTGTTAATGTGATAAAATCAAATATGTATAATATTGATACTGGTACAGAATATGTATGGACTGCACTCTAAGTGCTGGTACGTATACTGAATCGGAAACTCAAACAAAATGTCTATTTTTCAGTTTGGAGCAGATTTCATACTAAAAAGATTTTTATTTGCAGAACGGTTTACAAATCACAGTAGATTCTATCAGTTACAATAATTAAGAAGAAAATTACCATGAGGGATGTCTTGAATATTTTCAACATTTGGAAGTGTTGGTTCTTCTAAAACACTTTCTTCAGCAATATCTTCCCATTCATCCATAGATTCAGAACTCTCGGAAGAAACTATTGAAGAGAGCTGAGATATGTCCGTATCATCGTCACTTACACTGGAAGCATCTTCTGTTTCCATGGCAGAATTAGATGGGAAAATGTGTTCCTGTACATAGAAAATTGCATAAAATGTGTCACATAGAGGATATTTAATGAGTGCAGTTCAATACTAAATTTATTGAACGAGTTGTATAAAATCATATTATGCGAGCCTCTGGCGAACATAATATTGTTTTATTCAACGAGTTCAATAAATTTTTCAATGACCCGCCCATAGTGTAACGCTAACATTAGCATGCTTTAACGCTATGTTTCTATATAGCGCAAATGACGTCACGTCAAAGTGTAATTACACTAGTGTAATATAGTTTTTATTAAATGGCTTTATTACACTCCTGTGCCGCGGTTTATGTGATAAAGACTCATATTACAAGAGAATTTAATATGATTTTATTCATTCATTTCTTCAATAATTTATCACGACTTCCGTTATTAAATAATAATTGAAAAATTACTAAAAATGCAAGGAATAACAACACATAATAATAAAGGTTTATTACTATTTCGTTGCATTTACCTGTAATTCTATCTTCCACTGTTTCAGTCCTTTATCAAACGTATCTGCTAACTTATCTAATGTTGACAACATCAGGTTTTCAGCAACTTATATTCCGATGTGGTAGAAATCACTGAACAGCTGTAATGATAGACAGCAATTAAATTCCAATTTTTAGTTAAATATGATATAGATAAATGACAATGAACTCACGGATCTCTTACAGCCGGCTCTCCACATCTGAATTGCATTCATTTTCTGGAACATATTTGCCCTGTGAGGTTTGATCTGAGCTAGGATCTGACAAATCAATGAACCAATAACTGGTTTCAATGATATCTCGCTACTCTTGCCTTTAACGAGCCTTCCTCTGAAAAATGTATTATGTTGTTAAGGCCGTTTTAATACTTTTTATTATGATTAAATCATTTAAGAACGAAAACGCATATAGCATTTTGATATGCCTAAATATTCTTACAAAAGAAAGAGCTTATTATATCATGAATTAAATTACACTCAAAATTATGTAATTTTGTAAATTTTACATGTCATTTTAAGAAAGTTATGTCATTTTGTAAATATTACATGTCATTTTAAGGTATGACAATCCTTATGTATTACCTCCTGCTTTGAAGAGCATTAAATTATGCTAAAATTCCGGTTAACGAAACTTAGGGACGTAGGTTCAAACCCCAGAAGGGTCAACTTTTTTTCTTTAAACATTATGTATGTACCTGTAATATGCCTTTCTTGAACTAAAAACATGTTTAACTTTAACATTTAAATTAATATAATACTACATGATATTTTTGAAGTCTAATAAAGTAAAAACTGGACGGTAAAATTATTTAATATTTTTACAAATGTTCAGTTTCTTATAGCGCCAGTTAGGTGGTCATACATTAAGCAATCAAATAGTTACCTCATCAGTGTGTCTTCGTTTCCTGGGTATGTGCAGGCTCCAACTAAAACATTAACCAGTATTGGTGCATGTGACTTGACCAACTGAATTAAGTCATCCCACCTCAAATTACGAAAATTTTCAAAGCTAGCCTTCTTCGTAATTTGCAAATCTTGTTTTAGGAGACACAGCACTTCTTTTCTAACATGACGTACCAACAAACTGATTAAATCACGTTTTGCCGCCTTTGATCGTTTTATTAACCATCGAAACCCTGCCTTGTAATGGTAGTTGATTATATATTTGGATTCAGTAGACAGTGTAGATTTCTGAACCTACAACATGCACAAAATCATATTTACGTTTTATATGAGAATAACAATTTATAACCTTGTGATTGTTATAAGTAAACATTAAACTGTGACACTATTTCATTATTACAGCTGAAAACGCTCTCGATAATCTATGTAAACACTATATTTGCTTTTAAGTTATTTATTACTGTATAGTTTTTTATATATATATATCTGTATATTTATGTATGTCTGTATAATGTTGACAGGGAAATGAACCATTTAAATAAAAAAAAATGTATGCCCATCACATCTCATAAATGAATTTGTTTTCATTATAACGTTTTCAAACATTTAAAATAAATTAAGAAAAGTTTATCTAAACAACGAGCTAACACATGACTTTCACCTCTGCGGAAAAATATCGCTGTAGTGCCAGTAAAAACGTGACTTTTTTTGTGTATAAATTTTAATCGACAGAAATTTGAACTCATTAACCTACCTTTCCCTTTAAAGGTGCAGATGTGAAAATCGTGCTTTTCAATTTTTTCTATGGAGTAAAGGTTGCTTTCTTTTTCCGTTTTGTAGATACATAAGTTCCAGGCAATGTCTTGTCAAAAAGTTTCTGTTTAGATGATTCTCCTATACTTGCAGACTTTAACAGTTTCTCGCACTCTAAGCACAAAAATCTTTCATCACGTTTTCCTTTTGGCGTAATTGTACTCCCTAATATGTCCTGTATTACTTCTTCGCTATGTTCAAGTGTCAGTAATGGTTTTCTTCCATAACTCTTCTTGTATACCTTAAACTTCTCACCACAATTTGAGCATTCCATTTTAACACATGCTTTAATAAATGATTACTAGCATCTCTCATTTATTTTAAGATTCCATTTCCCAACATACAATGCACACTGTATATATAGATCATCAACTGTCCAATTATGGAACAATATAGACAACGACCAATCAGATGCGACGCGGCATTATCTTTGATCATTTGACCAGGCCTCCGGGGCAGAATAATATTTGGCACCACGATTGACATGTTTATATAAAGTTCGGCTCAGTTACGTAAAATAAAGAGAACGCTTTTTTTCGAAATGGATGATAATGTGTTACAAAAAGTAAAAGTAGAGTTTGGGTTTAACTTCGATCTGAAAAAAGAGCAGTTAGAAGTTATTGAATCAATAATAAAAAAGAAAGACGTGTCTGCAATTCTACCAACGGGCTTTGGGAAGAGTTTATGATACATTATACCACCGTTGTATTTAGACGCTGTAAGTGATTATTCTTTATATAATTTTACGATACATGTATATTTTAAAGCAGCACGCCTCAAGATTCATGCTTATTTTTAATAAAAGTTTGATTTCCTTTAAAAATAATTTGGGGGCTCATCTAGATGCATGAACTTTTAAGAATAGGCAATAACTTTAACACTTTTCTATAAATAAACTTGATTATATCGATAGATTTCTTATTCGACAAAAACCTGAACGACGTTTTAAAAAGAATAGAATTATTTGTAGAAAATAAATTTGATACACTTAATATAAATTTAAAAATAAATAACTCAGTAAAAGTGATGAAGGTAAATGATAAATGAATATTTATTCTTATGTTTAAGTTTCATACCTGATAAAAAATGTGGTTTATCTTCAAGGTAGAAGCAGGCATCAGGCACATCGCTTTGGTGATATCCCCTTTATTGAGCCTTATAGAAGACCAGTGAAGAGAGCTTGAGAATCATAATATTTCATCTTTGGGTGTTACTCGTGAAACATTCACAGATTTGGATGGTATTTAAATTTAGTCGCAAAGTTTGATTATAATGAGTTAATGAGTCTAACAATAAAACTCATCATAACTTTTGAAATATAAATGAAAAGCTGTGCGAGAAATCAATATCATTTTCAATAAATCAATTATTTATGTCATAATTAATTCTCTTTCCTTCATGTAATATACATTTTACTTAAATTATGAAAGTCATTTGTTTTTTTTTGTTTTTTTTGTTGTTGTTCGTAGATTTATGTAAGGCAGACGCATCGATAGTTTTCACTACACCTGAAGCTCTTCAAAATAAAAATTGGAGAAAAATATTGTTGGATGAAAACTTCAAGAAAAGATTGTGTCTTATAGCTTGTGATGAGGCTCACTGCATATCTGACTGGTAAGTTACATGTACTATTTGTTGAAATGTCAGCATGTTTATTAGAATATAAAAACAAAACAATACAAAATGAGTCATGATTTGGCTATTTTGATATTTTAGTCATCAATGCGCACATGTTTCACGTGCGGCCTTATTAAATAGACAACATGTGCGCAGTTAGAAGTTTACATGTGTTCATTCCTGAAATGATCTACAAATTATCTATTTCTCATGTTCAAACAAAAATGCTAAAACGTACGCGTGTAATTCTAACAGGCACACGTGTAAAAAATGCGTGTGATATCCCATTTATGCCACCGAAAATACAAGCATAAAATATGTTAAAAAAAACAGACGTAAAAAAGACCCCCCCCCCACACACACACACACACAGCCTTCAGATATACCCTGTGTTTGATGAAGTATCTATCCTGTTTGATAAACTGAAACATATTTCAGGGGTGAAGACTTTAGACCCGAATTTAGGGAAATATCTTCAATTAGGAGCTTTATAGATGCCCCGTTTATAGCCTTGACAGCTACAGCTACAGACAAAGTACAGGAAGATATATTCAGATACCTTTTGTTGGACGAAGACCTCACTGTTTCAGTGGCTGTTATACCAGACAGGTATTTATGCTAAAAAGCAAATGAACGACTTAAATGTTTATTATTTATATATAATTGATTGTGCCCTTCCGTTATAAAATAAGAATACCTAAAGGTTACGGAATTCCATAAACGACAGCCTACTGTTTACTGTCAACTGCCTACTGTCAACTGCTTACTGTCAACTGCCTACTGTCAACTGCTTACTTTCAACTGCTTAATGCTTACAGCGACTGTTTACTGTTTAATGCTTACTGTTAATTGATAAATGCCAACTGTTACACCTGTCTAATACCCAATTAATTGCCTGAAAGTAAATGTTGGCTTTTTATGTCCTTCTTCCAATGTGTTTATATGTTACAACGAGGCCGTTTGAAACAGTATTAGTCAAGGAATTACTCTGTATAATTAATGAAGACTTTGACTGAAACCTTGGAACTTGTTACATTTATACATGTACATGCATAATTCTCGTTTTATTAAGCAGAAAAATAAGTATATATCTTTGCAGGCATCTAGAACTTTTCCCAATCATAGACCTGTAAACTTTATAAAAATGTTATCAAACCAAATATTACAAGTTTTTCTGTCATGAAATCTTGTTCGGTAATTTTGAGCTAACAAATATAACTGCATGCTTAATTATTTATACATGTTTATCCCTGTTCAAGCTTAGATACATCTACCATATAACATGTATATTATAATATTTGTTCATTGAATGATATTGACCCTACCCTATAGCTATAGAGCTTAATGATAATTTTAAACGGAGGCCTTGTAATGTCATCACAACGGTCAGTTTTATGTTCGTATTTTGAAAATAATGCTATGTTTTGTTAAAAAATAATCTAGATAATGAATGGTGCTCAAAACATAGATATATAGATTTTCAGACATAATTATATATATCAAAGCACAGAAGGCGCTGAATTTGTTTGGGTCTCAGAATGTCAGAAAGGTGAAGGTTGTGAGATTATAAACAAATTTGTTTTTGTATAGCCACCAATGCTTTCAAGCGTTGTGACGACCCAAACAAATAACCAGTCACGTCTCGAATTACGATAAACGTTAAACGTACTGGAGTATACACACTTCATGGTCCAAATCATACATGAAACCGTTTAGTTCTATCTAAAAAAGTTCATACTTGTTCTGGTGATTGTAGACCGCACATGTATACCATAATTCTACAAAGCCTTAGATTTGACTCAAGAAAATGTTACTTTAGTAGATGTTTAAAACGTATTCGACAGATCGAAGCATGATGACTAACATGTCAATTATTGTGTTATAATTGGAAAGTCGATGCATAATAAAATCATTGAAAGCTCTTTGAGTTACTTGGGCATTATTAATACAAAGTGATGTTAGTATTTGTTTAACGATATGATGAACTGCGGCATCCTAAATTTGAGTCAATGTAATGCCATCCGCATGTAATTTCTTAGTTTTTGCAGTATTGCCTCTGTAACATTCTGATTTTTATAACTTATGATAAAGGCATTAAAACCACAGGATAGAAAACAGACTAATCAATATATGGCTGGACGTCCGTAATTTTATTTCTTTGTCTTAAGAAAAGAGTGTTTAGGTTAACTTGTAAAGCTGTTTTGAAGAAAAATATTCAGATAACTTGCCAGATATTGGAGCTTCAGATGTATTTCTTAATGAACTAATAATATAACGTAATCTTGATCTTCCTAATGCATACTTTTCACGATCCCATGCATTAAAAATTGGTGGACTAAGACACTGTTTAAATGTGGACAATGTTTTTTTTTTCCAAATTGGTCATGTAACAACATTCAACAAACAAACTTTGCTTTATGGTTAACATATATATAACCATTTCAATTCATTTTGTCATAATTTTGTTTTCCGGGGGAGGGGGCGAAACATAAACAAAATTACAAGAAAAGTATGATATTTTATTTTTAAAGAAATTTTTTATTTTCAATTAAAACGAAAACAAAATACACTTATTGATAATAACACCATATAAAAATTATGTTTAGACCAGGAAGCTAATATTTTCTTGTATACGCCGTTATTTTAAATAAAAATTACGACACGCCTGTAAAAAATCAAAATCTATATAAAATATTTGTAAAGTTTCGGGGAAAGCAATTAATATAAAAGCAGATTATAATAAAAAGTTCTGTTATGAATTATATAATTGTTATGATATTATATTAATGTAAATATACTCTGCAATATAAAGTGATATACACGTTGTAAGAATGGTAACTTAAAAATGCTTCATATTATACCATAGAAGCTCTACACTATCACGATGTCTTAGAACTGTTACCTTAGTTGTCAAACCTTTAAAACACTGATAGAAATAGCAATGACTTTCATTGGATGATTCTGGCAAATACCAAGGCAGATTTGCTCATTGGTTTTACTTGCGGTAATTGCAAAAAGAAATAGAAAAAATAACCAACCTAAACGTTCACTTTTAAGTGTGTTTGTTAACAAGATAATTATAAAAATTATATAAAAGATGGATTTTAAACAAACACAATCTATTATTTCTCATAGTTTTTCAATAGCACAATTGAATTTAAACAAGAGAATAACGATGGCTGTTCATAAAAGTAAAATAAGCTGGTCCAAACTGTAATTTATCTATTCATGTTTTCACACTTTATGTCATTGAAATATTGAACGTTTTTGAAACAATTTGAAACAGCCAAGTTTGTCTTTGTTTATGCTTTCAGAAGGAAGCCGAGTTAAACTCGCCTTTAAGATCCGATAAATTTATGTAGTCTTTTTCCTCTTCCATTGTAATTTGAATATTTTCATACAGGTGTACTGGTTCTGTTACTTGTCTGTGAAGTACCGGTAAATGAAAGTATAGGCTGTTCCTCCATTGAAACGTTTCTGTCAGATTTATCATCCTCTGTACTGGAATAAAAATGATTCTATAATTAACCTTCAAAGCACATATCTTTGCAACATAAACTAAAGAGTGCAATCAACTTAACAAAAATGCATTACATAATATCTAATAAGGAATTACACATTTATAAGCTATAACTAACAGCCAATGACAACTGAACCAAAATGACCTCGTAAATGAACTCACACATTTTTAATTATGAGAGAATGTTTAGCCTAAATTTCACCCGTGATTTCACCAGTATATTACAGATTTTCTTCTAGAAATGTATTAAAGCTTAATAAACTATGAAATTCTAAATAAAATAAGGGAGTGTTGACATAATGGTCCAGATCTCCGACTCTCAACCGAGGAATATTGGGCTCAAGTACATCCATGTTGATTGTTGAACAAAGATTCTTTGTGAATAAAATATTATTAAGCTGATTTACCCTAAAATGAGTCCTATATTTGACAATTTATTAATCACATGTGCAAGAGACACGTGGAACCATTTCATAACATAACCATTGCAGTGTGCAATGGTGGGACGTACACAAGTCATTGCAATGAATCGAAATTACAAATTATTAGGCTTAATTATAAAATAATCCTTTTTAATTTACCTACCATTGTTTTCCAAGCAGATTTTGTCAACAAAATGGCGGGCGCACATGTGTGTACATTCGGAATACTTCTATTTGATCCATACATAGACTTAGACTGCCAATAAGCAGTAAGCAGTAGGCAGTGAGCAGCAGGCTGTCCAGTTAGCAGTAGGCAGTGAGCAGTAGGCTGTCGTTTATGGAATTCCGTAAAAGGTCAAATGTTACAATAAAGTTTTTATACCAAAAATTCAATAAATCAATTAATAATAAATATAACAATAATGGTCATTTATTCTCTTTTATTAGGCCAAATATCTTTCTTCAAGTAAATGAAAATTGCACAAGAGACTTTCAGTCCGAGCTAGAATGGTATTTGAAATATCTCCTGGAAACCGACGAATGGAAGAAAACAATCGTTTTCTGCAGGTATGCCATTTTGAGCAGAAATCAAGTCTTTTATTGAAAATCTAATTGATTGGTTTATTTCATGTAGATTTTTTTATCGAAGCATGGTGTAACTGACTGAAAAAAAAATATTTATAAAATTTTCGTTTTTCTCAAGAAATTATCGAAAGCAATATAACACATTTAAAACTAAAGTTGAGATTTTATTTCACATAATTTTATGAAATTCAGGTCTTATTCACAAGTGTTTGAGGTATGGGCTTGGCTGGTGGACGCTCTTGGAGATCGTGTTTTTACTCAACACAAGATATCTGCAAGGAGTAGAAAAGTCGAAATGTATCATAGTTCAACAGACGCTGACACCAAAAGGTGGATAATGGAGGACTTTACGAAATGTGACAGTACGATCAAAGTGCTAGTGTGCACTGTAGCCTTTGGCATGGGCGTCAGCATTTCTGATACAGAAATAGTGATTCACTGGGGAGCCCCGAAGAGCATACTTGCTTACTGGCAAGAAATTGGAAGAAGTGGAAGAAGTGGCCAGTATTCATATGCCATTATGTATCCGTACAAACATTCACTGATTAGTAATATGGCAACAGAGGAAATAAAAACCTTGTCTAAATCAAGCGAATGCCTAAGGAAATACGCTTTGACAAAATTAGTCACAAAAAAGATGAAAGGGGAACTCCCATCCAGTGAAAACTGTGTAACAAACAATTGCCAAATCTGTGCTTGTGCAGCTTGTAGTTGCTGTTCCTTTTGCTACAAACTTTGCCAGTGCAAAGGAAAGCTAGATGCTTGGTCAAAATTGTTGTTGTAGGAGAATGTGAAACATTAAAGTTAAATATCGCTGGATATTCAGTTTTATGTATATTTCCCCTATATTCAATCGACGATATCATTAACGCTGAATGAAATTTTGTACGTAAATAGATATTAGGCCAAATTTTAGAAATATACGTAGATCAACATGTATTTCTAATCAATAAATTAAATAATTTATTTAAAAAAAAATTTTCTAATGAATTAATCGCGTCTAAATCAATTAACTGATAATCGTTCGATTTTATCAGTACATCAAGTATTTCCTCATTTTAATATTAATTATAACGAATATAAAGCCATGACAGGTAGTTCACGATACCCGTGTTACACCGTGTCATTTTTGAGGAAATGTTTACCAATGCACCGGTTACGTCATTCCCTCTATTTCCAATATGTCCGCTTGTGTATATTTTCACCGATTTGAAAAAAAATGAAATGGAATATTGTGTTTAAGTTCAACTTTGAAGAACGATAATTTGGATTTTAATATAAAAAACAGTGCTCTTTCAGGTAATGTAGACCGTTTCTTCTAAACTTATTTAGTTTTCTCTCCCAACAACTTCTAATTGGGAAGCGTCCGTGCATAAAAATGCAGTTCGTGGTTGGACTTGGAAAAAAGACAGCGCCCGTCCAAAATTATCTCGGTGTCTCTTTGACAAGTCTAATTAGTTGGACTAAAACGTGCCTTTCCAGATTTTCCATAAGCTGCTGTAAGGGGATTTACAATATAAGGCTGCTCTTTCACCTCAGAAATACAACCTTTTTGTAGTAATGACTTAATTTCTTGACTTACAAATGAAGAATTATCTCTTGCTGATTTGTTGTTTAACATAAAAACTGAATCTGGAATATTTCTGAAAAGTTATTTATACCCATTTTCTACTATTTGTAATACAAACTCATTTGCTCCAGCATCTTTCAAGTGATTTATACAAGATTTTAACTTGCTAACCGTGTACTAATTTTTGAACTATTTTCGCATTCAGCTTTTTGCGTAGATAAATATAACAAAGAGCAACTTATCTTAGAATTTGACTGTACATCCTTGTTCATAAACCCTCCGTCGTTTTGTAAACAAGACCTGCAGTTGTTCCGCCAATGACCGGGACGTCCACACCGGAAGCACGTGCCAGGTTTACGGCCAACAAATACGTTCGTCTGGTTCCACGTAGTCGATGAGCCGACAATATCCTTATTTTCAGGTGTTAACGTTTGTCCTTGGAAATAACGCCCGTAACGTGAAAACGGAGAATAACGGGTATTTCTTGCTTTCCTCTCCTGTCGGAGCTTACGCTCAGCGTCTCTCTGGGACCTGTAAATCTTTTTCTCGTCATCTTCGTTTTCGGCCAGAGGATGGGCCTCATATTCCATTACTACACGCCAACCAGCGTCACTGGAATCAGCAAGACGTATTAACTTCTGGCGGTGATTTAAAATGTCAATACCTTGAGAGACTTTTTCCATAGCAGACGACATGGCTTCACTTTGATGAGATCTGGCGGCCTCTTGAAGATGCAAGTCTGCCTCCTTCATTTTGTCGAGAACACGTGCGTTTACTTTATGTTGTTCCTCGTTGCCTTTCTTACGAAACGTGAAAGTATCTTGTCTCTGTACACTGTGTTTTAATCTCGTTATCTGCTCTTGAGTAAAAGCCCTCTGAGACTGTTCAAAATCCTCAAGCTTTTGAGTAATAAGTCTCTCCATGCTTGACAATAAATTGTTTTGTTCTTCCATGGCTGCACTGCACACGCTCAAATTGAAAGTGTACTTTGTTGGAAATCGTCTGGGTAGAAGTGAATAAAAATCTTTACACTCCGTATTTATAACCCTGATATAGATAGCTTACTCGAAAAAGCACGATAATCTCGTGCACAACTGACCATTACCTCCAATACCGTAAACTATGTACGTTTCGAGAAGACAAATATTTCACGCTATACTACGAAACGCGTGAAATTATTATTCTACACACAGTCACTATAAGGTTAAAATTAATTCGATTGCATAACACGAGACAAATATTTGAATATGTTCTTTCTACACACTGAAAAAATCAAAACAAAATGTTGACGAATAAAAATTCTGTAAAATTTTCAAATTTTCAATTTGTTAATTGTATCTATTTGTGTGTATCTGAATGAGTATAGCCAATCTGTTGACAAAATTTAACGATCGCACACATTTTTCAGTTCTTAACGAGTGTCATATTTTTACATTTAACGTAATGACCACAGCTGTTTAAAACTTAATAATTAAGCCATTTCATGTCCGATTGACGTCAAATTTGGACATAATGTCACTTAAATATAATTAAACGTACTGATGGAATATATAGAAAACAAATAATAAATTATGAATAAGTTAGAAGTACAACTTATCTTCAATAACTATTTCGATGTGTTGCGCCGGGTGTGTGTTACCATGGTTATACAATATCGCAGGAAACACGCATTTAGCACAACCGATTAAAAAAATTATATCAACAATAAAATATGCTTAAATTATAAAAAAAAGCAATTCACGATCGCTGTACATATGAAAATATTCTAAATTGAATGAAATTTGAATATGCAAGACTTTCAGTCCTATTACTTTTTGAACAACCCTCGTACAGGTATATATTCATAATAAAGGTAAATTGCATAACATTCTCTCTAATACAAATGTAAAATTTCACAAATCACTATATTTCATTTAATTTTTAAGTAAAACTTACCTTCCCAACTTACATGGATTTCCTTTGAGATGTGTGAACTGTCTTTATTTACACTTTTATCTTTATTTTGACAATCTCAATATGCCTTTGCTGGATTATTTTCTTGACCTTTAATTACCGTATGTCCGTAGTGAACGTTTGTGTAGATAACATGTATGAATCAGTAGAATCATTGCCAAACATTCGATTTTCATTTTGAATAAAGCAAGAATTTCCATTCGTTTTTATAGAATAGCAAATCAGGTTTGTCAAGGAACGAAGAATAAATTTGCATTTTCTTATAAATTACTTCATAGTGGTTGATTTCGTAACAACAGCTGTCCAATAAATATGGTAAATAAGTATTGATCTACCAAACAAAAGTAAGTTGTAGATTCTAACCGAAATGTCATAAATTGTTTCTAACATGGGCATGTTATAATCCAAATAAATGCTGTTAATATACATATGCTATCATTTTGGCGAATGTTTTAAAGGAACCACAACCAATGGATTCCTGTCGTTAATTTCGCAAATGTCGTCCGTACATACATGTTATTCATTGCCAAGCTTAGCAACTAACAGAACACCAATGTACCGTTTTGAAGGGGTTGCCTTTGGGTCGAAAAAGAATACAATTTCCTTGTAGTATTCTTTAGAATAAATTATAAATCTAAAGTTCATATTTTTACTTTCTGATGCAAAAATGCTTAAAATGCAAAGTAAAACTGAAATTTTCTGAAACGCTCATTATAAGCTATGGAATGATCGGAAAATTTTACAATTTTTAATCCAAGACCACTTTTCAATACATGTATATTGTATCAATGAAATATTAACTTCTAGTTTGGTCTTTTACGAAATGATTGATGTTGAACAAATAAGATCCAATAACCTATCTCACGTTTTTTGGACTCCTTTACTTGAGTTTATAGAGAACAATTAAGCAATGATACAACGTATGATAAAAGTCGTTGACGTATGTACCAAGAGAATTAAAGCCAATATGCATAAAGCATTAATATAACAAGATACCTGTCTAGCTCTTTGGTTTTACTGATAAGAAACGAATCATTCTGTATAGACAAAATTAATTAATGTAGTTTAAAAAATAATACGACATCCGTACTTGTATACTTTATATTGCACTCTTTCCTTATCCCCCCATGTACAGACACAGTTAAAACGAGTCTGCAATTTTATTGTAATTTTGATTTGATGGATCACTTTTTCTCCAGATTTTTGATATCTTTAAAACACGTGCATGTAGGTTTTGCACAAGTTATTCTTGTATTTTCATATGTATATTGGATAATTATCAGAATACCTATTAAATTGAAGATTTTATTAGTTTACGGCATCGTATTCGCAGTAACAAAGGTAGTTAGAATTTGTACTATACCAACATTATATGTTTGCATTCTTATCATGAGAAATCAAAGATAAAGATCCCAAACCTTAATTTTCAAATGACTCAATTGCTAGGTTATACATAATTATTTCAGTGTAAACATGAAAACAAATGACCATTTGGTCACAAAGTGTTACTGAATGTTTGTCGTAAAGGGATGGCTGTATTAGTTATAGCTATTATGAAAACAAAGGTAAGACAAAACACAGACACACACACAATTTTGCAAAATAAAGTCAATTTATATTTTATTGATTAGACCAGATGTGTTTTGACAAATATCAAACAATTGATTTGTTTGTTTGATCGTAAATGTCCATGGCATAAGTATATATTAAAAAATCGACTTCTATCTGTGAAATAAGCGTTAAAAATATACATATGAATTGATTTGTTGTAAGATTAATTTAATGAACATAAATAAAAGCAAAAAATATACAAGAGGTAAGACAAAAACCGTTGTACATACTGGTACATGTGACTACCTCAAGTCCGTACTGGATCACAAACATGAACATGCTCAAACGAATGAATTCATCATTTGAATTTTTAACATAAGTGGCCACATTTATCCACACTTTATTGATATATTTTGTTTCTCTTTTTCATTATGAGAAAATTCCATGTAATTCAAGTACTAATATGTAAATTAGTTCAACATGATTATATTTATCAAAACGTATTTGCATTTTGACATTTTCTGTCTGAATAACCGAATAATATGCTAATGTTATGTTTTTATTCATAAGAGACAACCAGGGTTACAGCTTTAAAATGCATAAAGCATATGTTGAGTGATATTTTGAACTTTTGAATTTTGAAAAACATGTAAATTCAGGGATTAAGAGACTAAAATTGTAAAATATTCTACTATAAAACCAAGTCAGAAAAACATGTTCCTAAAAGATGAATATCTATAGTTTTATGAAGT